TACTGTTTCGTCCATATTGGCTCTTCAGTTTTAGTGCGGATCGTCGCTTCAATTGTTGTTGTAAATGGTAAAATAGGATTTGTTTCCTCATTAGTTCTCATAATTTCTTCAACTTCTTTTTTATATTTGCTCTCATCTATTGTGAAATTTACTTGACTGACATCCATTTCTTTTTTCTTCTGTTCTGTTCTCCTGACATACATCATTTTATATTCGAACAGATCTATCTTAGCTTTCATTTCTCTCAAGGATTGTTCTCCTAATATCATATCAAATTCTTTTAATTCTTCGATTTCAAAAAATATTAATTCTTGTCCTAGCATTCTAATCTTCTTGGCTGAGTTGATTGTGTTTGAACCATTCAGAGTTCTACTAACAAATTATTTAACTGGGAAGGTCTTTCTATTTGGAATATTTTTCCTAATATAATTTAATGTCGAACCTGTGTCTATTAAAACTAATAGTTTTTTGTTATCCTGTAAAATAATCTAAAGACACGGTAGATTATTTACTCGTCTAAAAAAGTAGCTCTATTTTCAAATTCGCTTTCGTCTATATTTACCCTTAATGACTGATCACTATTATCATCCGTTATTTGGTTGATCCTTTGTAGTTTCTGTGGTGCTATATTATATCNCTGTAAAATAATCTAAAGACACGGTAGATTATTTACTCGTCTAAAAAAGTAGCTCTATTTTCAAATTCGCTTTCGTCTATATTTACCCTTAATGACTGATCACTATTATCATCCGTTATTTGGTTGATCCTTTGTAGTTTCTGTGGTGCTATATTATATCTGGATGACGTTGGTTGGTGGTTTCGTTTAAATGGTTCTCCTCTATTGGGATTGAAAGGTGCGTATCCTGCTCTTTGTCGTTCATAGTTGTTTCTGAAGGGATTCTGTTGATACGATTGCTGTTGTTGATGCTGATTATTCGTGGGTTGCCGGAATCTTCCTATTGATGTATCCACGTCCATTGGTGTCGGGTTTGATCTTTCCATGTGGGGAATAGGTTGAACTCCTGGTTGATACTTCCGTTCGTTTTGTGGGTGTTTGGGGTAGTTATAAGCTTCTCGTCGTATCGATTTGTTCTGCCTTTTATAAAGAATCTCCGTGGCAAAGGCGTATGCACTTTCTAAATCTCTTGGTTTTGCTGCATATAATGTGTGTTGAGTAAATTCATCATTTATGCCATTGCGGAAGCAATCTATGGCCATTTCTTTTGTGACCTGCTGTAGAGAGTGAGTATTCCCTGGGTAATCAATTTCGCACTTAGTCATTGCTAAATTAAGGATTTGACAGATCTTGCTGTGGAATTCGGATAGCGTCTGTCTTCCTTGTATTTGTCTTTTCATTTCCTCTATGAGGGCGTTATAGCTTCTAGTATCGGCGTAGCTGTAATCTAGGCGATTGAGTATTGCTTGTAAGTGAAATACTGTGCCATGATTCTGTAGAAGAGTTGCTGGTTCTCCTTCGATCTTCGTGTGACGTATTATAAATAATGCATCGTAATATGGTTTGGTATCTCGAAAGGCTTGTATGGGACTCATTGCTGATATGACGGTTGCCCTCCATGTCCTGTATTTGGATGTGTCTCCGCTGAACACTGGTAGCCGTTCGAATAGTCTCAAATTTATTTCATTTGCATTGTTTATCCTGGGACTTATCGGTTGGAATTCTTCGATTTCAGGTACTTGCGCTTGCTGCAGCTGGGCTAATTGTGCTTCTACAGCGGCATAAGCTTGTTCCAAGGTTACTACCCTTGCTTCCATAATGATTCCTCTGCCTTGATCAAACACTTGTAATCGCTTTTTTCGGAAGCGGTCCAGTTTTATTTTTGGTTCTNTTCAATAGGAATGTTTTGGTTGCTGATAATCTTCAATAGGAATGTTTTGGTTGCTGATAATGTTCAATAGGAATCTTTTATGTAAACTACTGATTCTGTATCATACGTTGGATGATGTCATCGGTACAGTAGTGTATTTTCTGTTACACTAACTAGCGTTTAAAAGCAAAAATAGTACGTAAAGTCAAGATTTTTAGTTTAAGTTGAAACCACTAAAGCGCAGTATCCTCCTCACACATAGGCCAAAAACAGTAGCGCCTTGATACCATATGGAATACTTTACCGATGGTCTTATTTTCACCTGTGAGATCTCTGCGTAATCGTTTTCTATGATCTTGCAACTAAAACATTGGTCCGATGCGTAAGCCAATAAAAGTCAACTCAAGAGCACAGATGTGGGTTTTCTGTTATAGGAGGGCCAAGAATCCTCGCTGTCCCACAGGATGAAAAGTTTTCCCGTACATTAGGTAAATGAGTCGTGTGATTTCTTGAATATCATTCAAATAAAGCAATTGATATACATACGGTGCTCTTTCCTTGTTAACTCGCCACTTTTACAATTCGTGTTAATATTTATGATACTGATTTCTAGGTAGATCCAAGATCGCATTTGTCGCATGAGGGCGTCAGTCAAAGGTGCGCTTACACAATTTTGCGGTCTTACTATGCATACTTAACCCCATCCTTCATCTAGCCATCTGAAACTAAATTCGTATAACTTAAACATAGGGCCAAAGAAGATCAACCACACGGAGTTTCTATACATTTCGGCTGCAGCGCCATCCATTGGGTCCATTTTCTGCAGAACCATTGCTTACCATAAAATGAATACGTATTAGGAATTTCAACCTCGACTCCAGTGCTACTCAGCGGGTCCATGTTTATCAAAAGATCTTTTCATCATACAAGTACATAGCTCACATTTAAAATTTGAACGAAATCGGTTAACAAATACGACTTTTATAAATAACTCTACTCCAGCACCACCTATCGAGCTTTCTAGTAAGACCATATATGTAAGGTATATCTAACCTCCGACAATTTGACGGAACTGTATTCAGTGGTTTTTGAGTTTAGTCCGAACAACGAAAATGGCTATCATTTTTTGTATATAGGTATGTAGATAGGACAGTCTATAAAGAAACTCATAAAAATCAAAGCTCTAAATTTTTTTCAAAATTAAAAAAAAATTAAAATTTTCACAAATTTTACCTTTTACCAAAAATGAAAAACAAAGTTACAATAACTCAGTGGGATTTAGATATCTAGTAGAAAATGGTTCCCAATCGAATGATACTTGCCCGTTTACGTAAATGTATATTGATGCAGCCTTTCAAATAATTACCCATTTCGCCATAAGTACGGTATGAATATGCAAAAATGCTTT